GATAAAAATTAAAAAAATTATTTTGAATTGTGATGCATGCTTCAAATTCAATTCATTGTAATAAGACTCATGCTTAAAATAAATTTTATTCACATAGTATTTATTCTAAATAATTTTTAAAATAAAATTTCTGAGTTCGTTGTAACTAACATTTCTGATGGTAAAGACATGACATGTGACTTTAATTGATAGAGCCAGAAGCCTAAATACTAAAAAGTAATTACAATATTTGCTTCTAGATTACCATGCCATGCCGAAAATGTGCCGTGCCATGCCCAAAATGTGTTATGGCCAAACACATACTCAAAACTTTAGGGAGCGTTGGGTAATGTTTATATTTTTAGTTTATAAAAATTTATAAATTAGTTTTTATTTATTTTTAAAAAAATATAAATTTAGTTTGAATAAAATATTTAAAAAATATAAACTAAAAATATATTTGTTCATACCTAAAATATTTATATTTATTTTTTATTATTTATGATAATAGAATCATACACATTATAATTAAAAAAATTAATTAAAAAAATTTATTTGAAAAAAAAATTGTTAGTCAAAATTTTAAATTTTTGTTTAAAAACCAACGTAAACTCATTTTTTGAGTTTACGTTTTTTTTTCCAAATTTATAAATTGAGACAACTATTTATAAACTAAAAAACTTATCAAACAAGTTTTTATGACAATTTTTAATTTTTTGTAAATAGAAATTGAAAATTGAAAATGAAATGGTTACCAAACAAGCCCATATTATTCATGTGTACGAAATTTTTTATGGGTTAATTATACAAAGATTTTTTTAAAATTATTATTGAATATCATTTTATCTTTTTATTTATGAATTTATACATATTGATGTTGTCAATTATAAAAATTGCACAAATACAATCCTTTGGAGGTAGTTTGGAGGATGTTTAGAGAGGGTGAAAATGATTCATTTTTATAACTGAATGGGTCAAAATATACGAGTTTATAAATGAAAAACAAATTGATATCACTAATAGTTGAGTATGTCTTAATGTAATTAACAAATTCTTATATTAGACATCTGTTGACACTAAATTTTTTTTTTTTATTGATTATGACTTGTTAATTATGGTCAAATCTCATTTAATTGATTGTGCGAAAATGACTGGTAGCTCGAAATTCGTGACTCGATTTTGGCTCGACAGCCCAAAACGACGTCGTTTTGGGTTTTTTTTTTTTTTTTCTTCTTCTTCTTCTTCGTCATGCTGGTAGGTTTTGTAGAGGGTTGATGGCTCGCAGAATATGAGTTAAATTACCATGTTGTCCTTTTTTTTTTTTCTAACATATGAATTTAGTATTCACTGAAAGAGGGGTAATGTGGTCATTTCAATCTCAAATAAATCACATACTAATATTATTGATGGTACTTCCACTTCACGGGTAAGACCTTCACGGGTGCAATTGACAGGTGAAGTACAATAATGAAGGTGAAGACAACGGTATAGGTTCACGGATTTTTCACAAAAGTGATAAATTTAACAAATGAAAAAATGTTTAGGTAGCGTTTGGTAACATTTCTATTTTTGATTTTTAGTTTATAAAAATTTATAAATTAGTTTTTATTTATTTTAAAAAAAATATAAATTTAGTTTGAATAAAATATTTAAAAAATATAAACTAAAAATATATTTGTTCATTTGTTCATATCTAAAATATTTATATTTATTTTTTATTATTTATAACAATAGAATTATACACATTATAATTAAAAAAAATTAATTTGAAAAAAAAATTGTTAGTCAAAATTTTAAATTTTTGTTTAAAAATCAACGTAAACTCATTTTTTGAGTTTACGTTTTTTTTTCCAAATTTATAAATTGAGACAACTATTTATAAACCAAAAAAATTATTAAACAAGTTTTTATGACAGTTTTTAAATTTTTGTAAATATAAAATGAAAATTGAAAATGAAATGGTTATCAAACAAGCCCATATTATTCATGTGTACGAAATTTTTTATGGGTTAATTATACAAAGATTTTTTTTTTTAATTATTATTGAATATCATTTTATCTTTTTATTTATGAATTTATACATATTGATGTTGTCAATTATAAAAATTGCACAAATACAATCCTTTGGAGGTAGTTTGGAGGATGTTTAGAGAGGGTGAAAATGATTCATTTTTATAACTGAATGGGCCAAAATATACGAGTTTATAAATGAAAAACAAATTGATATCACTAATAGTTGAGTATGTCTTAATGTAATTAACAAATTCTTATGTTAGACATTTGTTGACACTAAAAAATATTTTTTATCGATTATGACTTGTTAATAATGGTCAAATCTCGTTTAATTGATTGTGACTTGTCAACTATGACCAAATTTAATTTCATTGGTTGTGATCAATTGATTTTGATCTGCCAACCATAAATTATTTTTAATATAAAGTTATGACCACATATATTTATTATTATTATTATTATTATTTGTTTGGTGCAAGATCATGGTACCAACTTACCAAGGAAGTGGGGCAACATGGTTATGTGGCAGCAACGTGCTATTATGGTGGAGTAGTTTGTGGCAATGTGATTTAGGAGCAGTTGGTGGCAATGTTAAGCCTATAAATAGGGTGGAGGACGAATAAGCGAGACTTTCAATCAAATTTACAGTTTATGTAAAATTTAAGAGTAGTGTAACTTATTTAGGAGTAGTCTATTTTAATTTATAAGTAGTTCATTTGTAATTTAGTTTTTGTATCCAGTTTGGCTTTATTGATTGTAATTTTATTTGAACTTGTAATTTGATTCTTATAATTAAATGACAAATTTAAGTGTTATTCAATCGAATTTCAGTTTGCTTGCACTTATTTTTTCCTATTACAATCTCCAAAGAAGTCCTTGAATCACATTGCTTGATCAGTTTGTTTGTTTGTGAAAATTGATTTTCCTGTCGACTCTCGCCTTTCGATTTTATCTAAACTAGATTTTTGCTAACATCTTAAGAATTTTCTACCATTGCCAACAAAATTTGTTCTGCCCAATAGGCGTTTAGCACAAAATCTCAAACTCCACGAGAAAATATTACACTGATTATCTAATATGGCAATGAGATTCATGATATGCTTATCAAAATAATAATATCTATACATAACTTTTATAGAAAATTTAAGATAAAAATAATGTGATGATAACATTTTTATAATTACAAATCAAAGGTGATGAAAGTTATTTGTATAGTATTACCTTTTTCAAAATCTTCTCTCGCATAGTTTCAGGAGTGTCAAATTAAGGTGTTTGGGACAAGTAGGAGACAGTGGTTGTATTCAAAGATGAAATAGACACTTGGATTTGTTGACAACAACAATTGGAGTTCTAATCTGCTTTGGCAGTTGAAATTTTGGGCCATCTATAATCATATTGCTAAGTGAGAGGGAGGCTTACAACCTAATATTGGGCCGAGCTGGTTTGGGCCGAAGTCAAAGTCCTTGCTTGGTCAGACGTTGGGTGCACACTAGATCGAGGACTCAGTTCGGTCGAGTTGGAACAACTTTAGATTGCCAGTCTAGAGGAGATGTGCGCTCTACAGAGTTCGATGAGATTAGTCCTCCCAACGTCAGGATCGAATGAGCAAGAGCTTGGTTGAGTCACGGTGTGGAATTATCAAGAAAACTGGACAAGTAACACGGTCGTGAGGTGATGGCGTGGCGCCGCACTAAGCATAGCTCGATGGGGAGTATTACACAGCGCCATGAGACTACATGAAGGAGATTCTGCTATCCATACGCGTCAATACTGTTTTGGCGGTTTCGTTAGGTGGTGTTTAGCTGTATTAGTGCTGACACGTGGGGAAACATAAGAGGAGAGCAGGCTCACACGTCCCGAGGAGAATGGGCGCAGAAGCGCACGCAGAAACTATATAAACGATGCTGTGCCTCCATCATGAGGTTTGGAACATCCTCTGGTCAGAACTCACCTACCACTTTGTCTCCTCTCTCTTTTCTTTCTCTCTAACTGTGCTAACTTGACCGTTGGAGGGGTTTTCCGGCAGTACACCGGCGGGTATCTCACCGTCATTATGTTCTCAAGTCAATCGGAGAGAAGTGCAGCTTGGACACGAGGAATATGGATTATGTCGGATATTTGGCCCCCGTACAATTGGCGCCGTCTATGGGAAATCTCCGACAGAAAAAACCTTGTCTGCCAAGCTCTTTCGATCATCTTTCATGGCGAACAATGCCGAAGTCCCACTGTCCGCCATCGACGACATCACTCCGGAGTCCATTTAGAGAAGAGATGGTCTTCCTGCCATCCCTACCATGGCTGGCCTAGAGACCTCTCTTAGAGGGCTCCCTAAAGATGCGCAAGACAAGCGCGCGAGGAGCACCGACCACTCGCAGAGTCCTGATGGGCATCGGTGGCGAAGAAAGTCACATACTCAGCGTTTGGAGCATAAGCTAAGAGACCAAGACGCCATCATTTGAAGGTTGGCAATAGAAATGAAGGCGCTGAAGTGGTAGGTTAAAGGAAAAGGTGCTGCTGGAGTAGGTAACCACAGTGAGCACACCCAATCCTGTCGCTCAGGTAGCCAGAACCAGTGGCGAGTGCCCTCCCTCTCCATCACCAGAAGTTATAGGGTTGGTGACTCTAACCCACCAGCAGAGAAGTCTTGCGCGCAAGACAGCAGTTATCGTCTCTCACGTCCGTCGACGATGTCGAGATGTTCCTACTCCGCCCGTTCGGAGGACCTGAGAGATGTCTTGGAAGAACGAGCGCGCCGGCGGGAGGCGCAAAGGGTGCCGGCACTGCAGCGGTTATCCCACGGAGGTCGTACCAGTGACGAGGTCATAATGCTGCCACCATGCCCAGCTATACATGCCCTTTTAGACAGGGACTTGGCGAGGCTGAGTGCCACCCCTTTCTCCCTCGAGATAGAGACCACACCGCTCCATGCAGGCTTTCACCAGCCCAAGTTTACGTTTTATGACGGAAAAACCGATCCTTACATGCATGTGAGCCACTTCCAGCAGGTTATGGCTGGCTACAGGCGGAACGACGCACTTATGTGCCTTATTTTCTCGTCAAGTTTGGGTGAGTTGGGCCTGAAATGGTTTGAGAGGCTGCCGGAGGAAAATATCGAAAGGTGGCAGCAATTGACGGAGGTGTTTTTGACTAGATTCAAAACAAACACCAAAACGCCCAAAGAAGTTGACCATCTCCTGAGTGTCAAGATAGAACTGGGCAACTCACTCAAGGCATACAACGCCAAGTATTGGGAAACTTTCAACGAAATCCTTGACTGCCCGACCAACTCGGCGATCATCCAATACAAGTGCGGTCTTCCAGTTGGACATAGACTTCAAGACTCGCTCACCATGAACCAACCAACGACCATGGAATTATTGATGCAGTGCATCAATGAACACATCCGAGTTGAGGATAATGCTATTGTGGCTACCGCAAAGGTGAATCTGGTGGCAGTAGACAAAAGAGTGGCTGGAAAGGTCCACACAGTCGGACAAGAGGCAAGTCATCCGAACAACTGCAATAGAGATTCAAATCGCGGTGTAAACCGCAACAACCGGGGTAAGGGTCGTAAGAATGATCGAGCTAACTACCCCCGTGATGCAGCGGGCATCACCACGGCTTTCAAGATCCCAATTTACTATATCCTTAGCGAAATCCGCGACGAAGCATACATTCGGTTTCCAGCTAAGTTGGGTGATCTGCAGAGAGGCTTCAATTCGAGATACTGCTACACCTACAATGATGAGTGTGGCCACCGCATAGAAGATTGCGTCCCTTTAAAGCAGCATATAGAGGAGTTGGTGGTTGCTGGCCATCTTGATCGCTATATTGATGGCGGCGTCATGGCCGTACCTCATGCTCAAACCGAGCCAAACGGTTTGGCCGCCCTAGAAGTGCCCCCCCAATGCGTGATCAATGTGATCCATGGAATCGTTGAGCCATCGCGGGTATACGAACTTTGAGAGATGATAAAAAAAGCAGAGTATATGAGGAAAGTCCTGTCAGTCCAGCTTACGGTCAAAAGGGGCAAAATCGAGGTGAAAGATGTGCTTAGCTTTTTAAGCTGCGATTTTAAACGTATTCAAATACCGTACAACAACGCCCTGGTGGTCACACTTCACTTCAGGGACTTTGACGTTAGGCGCTGTAGCTCGACTTTTTCACGTCCCATTTCGGAAGTCGAAATAAGCCCTACAGTATCAGACTCCCGCGGTTCTGAATCTAATCTCACAAGTGTAATGTGAAATTGATAACCTCCCAAAGAGTCCAAATCCGAAAAATCTTTTGGAAAATTAATTTTGACTCAAATTGTCAAAAATGGACTGTTTTGCCAGATACAGAATCGTTACCTAAATATTTTTGAAAAATCTAGGAAACCCATGACTCGTGCCAAAGGTCATGTGTCCGTCATCACCAAGATTGTCTCGGCTAGGGAACTTAGGTACAAGAGGAGAAGGTCATGAATGAATTTGAGCACCCTGTTTGCCTGATCAAAGATCGGCCTCTACTAATCATGATATGAATCTCATGTATATTATATGCTCTTGTTGCGGTTTATTAGGCTAGCATTACTATGTGATGCGCACACACACAAGTATAAACTAAATCACAAGAATTGGAACATCTTGATTCATATTTGTTTGCAAAATTGTTTCGAATATGTACCACTTGAAAAAGTGATCACATATAAACATTTACTCAAATTATTCCAATTCAAGCAATTAGCCTTCATTCATAGGCATTCAAGCAGTTTATCAATTAAGCACTTAGCCTCATGGCAAGCATACTAAACATGGCAACAATCACACACATGCGACATGCTAAAGCGAGTAAAGGCTCACCTAGTACTCCAAGCCAAAATAAACAAAAGAGTTAGAAAAATACATGATTCCTAACTATGCAATATGACTAATACAACACATATAATATGCAATCTAAATAGGCTTGGCTGCTTAATATGGCATATGAAATAATTTGATAGCGTGCAGTCTAAGCATGTATTCAAAGAAGTATAAAACTAACAATGCAAGTAAGAATGATGAACTGAGTCTCGGGGCATGCAATACAGATGGATGCAAACATGAAGTATGCTAAACAAAACATGATATCCCTAAACTAACTGTAATAACCCGACCCATGATTAACATTATTCCATGCTTAATTATGCCTAATAAGTAATTAAAGTGAAATTTTACATTATATGTTGCCTTATTTGTGTTTATATCTATTTAATGTAGAAAGATCTGTTCATGTTTTCATTTTGGTTTACGAATTGAAGGCCTTATCGACATCCGATTCAGAAATTGACTTGATTTATGTGTTAATTGGAATTTTATGGTAGGTTTAATTGAAATTTGATTCAGAATGAATTAATTAGAATAAATTAAACTCATTTGATTAGTGGTAAGCTTAATTAATTAAACTCTCTAATCCAATCTATATAAGGCTAGTTTGTGCATTAGCTCTTTTGGTTTTACACATTTTTGAGTCTATTCACACAAACAAAATGTGAGGAAGAGTAAGAGAAGGAAAAAGTTGAGATCAAAGGTAGGAATAATTGGAGAATTGAAAAGAATTGAGAGAAGGACTTCTACACTTGTGTAATTGAGACTCTAGGTAAGAATTCTAGTCTTGGCTTTGTAATGTAGTTGATTAATGCATGTACACAAGTGAGTGAGGTTAATTCATAAGGGATTTGAGCTAGAATTGAAGAAAGTTAAGTCATTCCATACATACATGTATATATCATAGTATCTTGAGTTTGAAATCAAAGAATTTCCATATGCATGTGTAATTCATGAAGTTTGGAGATTGATCTCAAAGAATTTCAACTTGCATGTACTCATCCTACATGTGTTTTGAGAATTCATCTTGTGTTGCATCAGTTTACATCGCTTGATTATGTTTTGGAAGCTTTAGAGTCAAACCATTGCATATATGACATGTTTTGTGTATTTCCAGTTGGGATTTTGGTCATTTGGGCATGCTTTTGGGCCTTGATTTCATGAAATAATCTTGAATTTTAAATGTTTTCCAAGTTTAAATGTGTTTTCTCAAGTGTTTGGCCCAAAAGAATGAGTTTTGTAGCTTTGAAGTTGAGTATGGAAGCTTAGAGGCGAATCTGGCAATTCTAGAATTTGATCCCTCCGCTTGAGCGACAGATCTTGCACTCGAGCGGCCACCTTTGTTTTTGTATCTCCGCTCGAGCGACCAGAAGTCCACTCGAGCGTGAAATGCAAGCTCCCAAGAGTTTCTTGTTTTTGTAGACTGCTTTAGCGACATGAGTTGCGCTCGGGTGAGGACCTAAGTCTCATGCTCGAGCGACCGTCAAGTGTGAAAATCACACAACCTGTACTTTTTCAGAGTTTGCAGACTGCTCGAGCAAAGAAATTTGCACTCGAGCAGCCCCTCACACTTTGCATGTTCGATCGAACGAAAGAAGTTGCACTCGATTGGGACCCCTATTTCCAGCATTTTTGACCAAATGTTTCCAAATGCGTTTTTGCATTCTAGGCATTCCTAGGCCAAGTTTAAGACATAATAATGAGGGTAAAATGTAGAAACACACTAAGAACATGACGTAATGAGTTAAGGATATCTTAAGCGTGTGTTTCAAATGTGTATTTGTTATGTGTTAATGTAGGTCACGTGCTGTAGACCGTTTGATTAGTCTTCTCTGTTTGTCTGCACCCGGAGCCATATGTGAGTAATGATTTAGTAAAGCTATGTTCAACTTTATTTATTTTCTGTATGATGAAATGAGATCTGTCTTCTAAAATGTTATGCTCTGTACAATGAATGGTTGTCCAATTTCTGATATGTATTCGTGGCATCCTTAGTATCATGTGATATCTGTTAGCTGTTACCCGGTATCGGAGATTCCATTATGGAACTTATTGGGTATGTTTGGTTTGTGTTTGAGAGATGTGTTTTAGAGAAAAAAAGTAAGAAAAGTTGTTTGGTTTGGTTTTTTTCAAAAGATGTTTTGGAAAATTATTTTGAGAGAGAGTTTTGGAAAAAGTGATTGATTTGATGTGTGTGAGAGAGAGATTTGTTTGGAAAACTTGTTTGGTTTACAAGTTTTGAGAAATTTTTTTGGGAAAATTTGTTTGGTTTGATTACTTTTAAAAACTTATTTGTAGAGAAAATTTCCCAAAATTTTTTCAGAAACACAAACCAAACGAACCCATTATGTCTGCACTCTGTTACCCATACCAGAGGCTCCATCATGGGGCTCAGAATATCTGTTATCTGTTACCCGGATCTAGAGGTTCCTTTATGGAACTGGTTACTCATAACCACCATCTGTTCTATTAGCGCTAATGGATGTACCACGTATGATTAAGCATAAACCCTGATTTTTGTATATGACTTGAACAAGAACAAGAATATGTACATGAATCTGAAATTCTGATTTTCTGAATCTGAAATGGATATCATTCATCAAATTCTTTACTCTATTATTATTTACTGGGCTCCTGCTCACTATTTATATTATGCATGTAAGTGATCAGGCCCGTGACCAAGTGGCCTAAGATTTCGTTTTGTTAGCCAACCACCGTGCCTCCCGAGGGGGTTCCTTTTGGGAAGACCATGCCAAGGCTTTATTTTTGTTCTGTTTATCTATGCTTGGACTAAGTTTCCTTTCAACCTTATCTGTGTGAATGCGTGACGTGAGACCAATGTGTTTATGATGTCACATGTATATATATATAAATATAAGTTTATTTGAAAATTCTGTCTCATATATGTCAGCACAGCTCAATGGACTATGTATGTTTAAATTTTAATTCTGCAGCCCCTAATTATATCTTATTCTGTTAAGAGGTCTTCGGTAATCTAAGGGTTACTGGCCGGTTACGACGGTAAACCCATAAGAGCGGGTTTAGATGGTGACACTAACCATCGTAAGCAGTTTAAATAAAAGGGAGAAAGACATGGGGTTGGAAGACATACATATTATTACAACATTTGCGCTCTCGCGAAGAAGAGTCCGAATAAACTAGCTAAGCTAAGCTAATTATTACAACACAAATTAAATTAGCTAAACTACTTAACTAATTATTACAACAAATGAATTAACTATTCTAGTTAACTAAAATAATTACAAGACGAAATCAAACAACTAGTTAACTAACTAATTAACTACAACACTTTTCAAAATTAACTAGCTACAATTAATTAATTATAACAAATATCTAAGCTAAATATTTAAACTTATACATGCTCGGTATGCGAGGAATGCTCATGCACATGCACATGCTCGGTTTCCACCCGAAAAAGGCCACTGTTTTGCTTTCAGAAGGTCTCTGTTGCATAGTAGAACACTTACATGCTTGTCCACTTCCAGAATGGCTCTGCTCTACTCGAAGGGCACACTACTGAATTTTGCATCAGTGGCCGGCCGGCCAGTAGTGAGGGCTTGCCGGCCACCAGTGATAGCTGGCCGGCCATGGAAGGTGGCCTACCGACCACTGCTGCATAGTTTATCTTGCTGCAACAGAGAACAAACAGAGCATGCACAGGGTATTCTCAAGGGTTTGTTTGCACAATTCACCCCTAAATTTCACGAACAAATCAAAGGAGTAGTAAACTTGGTCCACAAAACATTAACCCAAGCAATTTCATTGCATGATTGCTCATGAACCAAAGTGTGCAAGTTCAATAAATGTAACAAAATAAGACTCAAAGCCCCTCCTTTCATGAGTTGATCAAGGGAAGTGGTGACCTTGAAAACTTGAAGCATTTCATCACTAATGAGTATGAAATGGCTCAAGTTTCCATGTGTTCAATTAACGTCCGATTGAACACAACACCAATTATTATCTTGCACCATTTTAACCTCAATTTTATTACTCCATTTTAGATTACCATCAATTCTTTAATTCATTGAGTCCAATGGTGAGTTTAAGTCCTCTAAATGGAAAGAAGGCTCAAACCAAGTGTTGTCTTAGGCATGAAA